CCCCCCCCCCCCCCCGATAATAGAAAGGCAAGATATCTGTAAGCAAGTAATATATGTGATAATGCAGAAAACGTATAGAGCTCAATATACAGCTACCTATATCCTGAAACTATGAATTTGCAGTTCTATGCAGATAGGGAATCGTTTGTTACTAGTAGTTAGCTGTTGAGTTTGTAAGGGTAGGGATCAGCATTAATACTATTCTGTACTGTATTAGGACAGCCTCCAAGATGACCCTTCAGCTTGCAGCAGTGGCAGATTGGGGCTCCCAGCCATAGGGGTGCAGCTGGAGTCAAAGTCTCCACTGCACCCCCACAGCTGCGAGCTCTGTTAGCAGTTCCAGGCTCCCAGGCACAGAGGTGCACCAATCTCCCCTGTGGCTGGGAGCCCCATCAACTGATCTGGGCTCCAAGCCCTGTTGGGCATGGTGCATCCCTGTATCTGGGAGCCTGGATCAACTGATGGGGCTCCCAGCAATGGGGGCCAAAATACACACGGGTGGCTGGGAGCTCCACCAGCTGTTGGGGCTCCCAGCTGCAGGAGCTTCCTACTTGCCAGTGCAAAGGGGAGGGGGGGACATTCCTGCTCCAGCTCCCCCTGCATCATTTATATGGCAGGGAGTGAGATTGTCAGGGATCAAGCATCAGACCCTATTGTGCCTTTAACTGAATGTCTGCCAGGGGCCTAATTCCCAAAATTGTTCAGCAGTAAGTCTGTTAGGAGTAAAATGAACTGAAGTATATAAGAGGCCCACATTTGATCTTGGCAGAGATTCTAGGGCTTTAGACCTCCACTAGCACTTTTTTCTGATGGTTCTATTTTTCCTTGCATTTCCAAGGAACTCAAGACATAAGGCTGAGGGTTAAGCATTAGCCAGCTTAATCGTGGAATTCTAAGGAACGATTAAAACAACAGACTGATTTCATTAGAAAAGGTGGAAAGAAGGAAAGTGTTTTTCAGACTTACACAACACAGACTAGTGATAACACAAATCTAGATATTAATTATTTAAAACACAAAAGGTCAAAGGAAAAAAGGTATCTACAGATCAGACTACTATAAAATAAACTGAAAGGAATTAAGATAGCTAGAGAGGAATTTGAAACAGTTTTTCTGTTAAGTGAAATCCAAAATAGAATTCTGGGGAAGAAGTGAGAGAAACCATAGCCTAGAAACAAGCAAAAATTATGAGCAGTGTTCCTGTTTCTGGGGTTATGTATTTCCACATTAACATGCAAACAAGTTACTTGGTAATGTTAGCATAAGTAGAATATTTAGGATGAAGAGAAATGAAACTTACCACATTGAGGAGGAATGTCCAAGGGGACAAAATTTCTGTTGCACAAGTGGACAAATGCTGCTGCCAAGTTGCAAGCAGCTTTCAACTCACTGGATCCACAAGAGTCTTGTGAACACATGGCATAGAATGGTTCTGGGTCCACCTTAAACATGAGCAAAGTTGTATGTAACATCTTCAGTTCTGCAAAGCACAAACCCGTACCCCAAAAAGTGTGACAGCAATTTGGAAATAAATAAATCTTTCCTTTTAGTTTGTAATTCTCAGATGCAAATGAGAATTAGTGTTGGCGAAACAAGAGTGGATAAATCATGTCAGGTAACTTAAAACTGTACAGCAAATATGGCAATTTAATTATAAAAGAAAAAAGAACTTAAAAATGTTCTTTGGGTAGATGTGATATCTTTTATTAGACCAACTAAGTAGTTGGAAAAATTGTTCTTTGCAAGCTTTCAGGCACAAACATGTTTTAGTTTTCCCAATTTTTTATTTTGTTTAATAAAAAATATCACATCTACCCAAAGAACCTCATGCCTATGTGTCCTTAGACCAACATGGCTACAACCAACAACCAGAAAAAATGTGGCATTTCACTCAAGATATGCCTTGTCTCAGACCAGAATTAAAATGCCCTTTAATCTACTCACAGAGCTTAACTGTATCAAACTAGTTTGGAATTTGGAAATAAAGATCAATGTCAGGCCAAGCTAATGTTCCAAAGCTTAAGAGACCTTACTAAAATATGCATGCAGCAGGGAGAAAAATGACATTTGGTTAGACTTTCTGTAATATTAAAGTTCTGCTAAATTCCAGCTAAAGCACCATGGAAAATTAATCTATTCTTTGATCTCTTGTAATTTTAACAGCTTTGTACCATGTGGTTTGGAAGTTCAAACTTTTCTCTGCTGATTCTTAGTATTACTTACAACTTTGAAACAGTTCCTGAGAAGAGAGCGGGCTTCTTGAAAAAACATTTTACAAAATTTTTGCTTTACTGTGATGGGACATGCCTTCACTTTCTTCTGTACATGGCTGCACTGACTGGTCACCTGAGAAAACAAGACTAGTCAGAACACAAACAAATTGTTTTTTAAAGCATTGATGTAGTGGAAGCCCCTTAATTTATACCAGAAGACAGTTTAGATAAAGGCTTTTTAGACCTATTGTTTTACACTGCCCTGAATAACTATTTCATTGTTTCATTAATATTAAGATGTGCCTTGCACTCTTCATAAATGAAACAAAGTATCTCTTTTGTCTTATAAATATTACAGATTACAGATATTGTTTCCTTTTCCTATTGATTTTATGATTCATTAAAGTTTTTTTTGTGTATGACTGGTGAAATAATAAGTAGTTGGCTAGGTCTCTTTTTGATAACATTATAAATGATAGATTAAGATAACCTTTTTTTTCTAGATCCTTTTATAGAGAGACAATACTTTACCAGTGTATTCATCCTTGTTAACATATATCAAGAAAGATTTAAGAGCAGATAATCACTGGATGAAGGTAGCAGCAATGACAAACATTTTTGCCTATTGAGATACAGATGTATTTTTGCCATGGTTGTTTTAGGTAAGCTCCTTCACAAGTCACAAATATGGTGATAGCCAATGTCATAATCAACAATTAGCAACATTAATTGGCTTGTTTTGCCTGAGTAGTGCTTATGGGTCTTTGCACTAGATCAGCAATTTAAAAAAATTAATACTTGCTCTAAATGCTTTAGCTCCATTAATAGAACCCTCTATGTTCAAGCAAAATCCAAATGTAAACTCAGGTTATATTAAGTGACAACTTTAATTGCCAGGTTAACCTCCCAAACAGTCCTTTTTCTAAGGTGAGTAGGCACCTGCATGGCTCCTTGCTTGAAGAGTCTTCTCTTTATCCTCCCTTGTTTTCATGGCCCCTGGTCCTTCAACACTAAAGTGTGTTCACTTCCATTAACACTGGGCACAACTTCATTGTACTGCACAAGAAGCCAGCCCGCTAGCTCCTGTGCTCCTTCCTATCAGCCATATAATACTGTCACCACCAGTAGACTGTAATGTAAGGATTCTGAGATGAGTTTTGCAAGGCAGAAGGGAGTGCATGGTTATTCCTTTAAGCTTGGCCTCCAGCTATTGCTCACCCTGCCATATCTGCCCTGCAATTGATCTTACTGTCTTTCTTCTAACACCTATTGCTTATAGCAAACCTTCAGTGTAAGAGGGAAAGGTTGATTCAGTTTTATCAGGGCAACTAAATACCATATTTACTCAAATCCAGTACAAGATTTCCCCTGCCTCCCTTTTAGCATAGGTAAAAAAGCCCCTTATCTTGGATTCGAGTAAAAGGTGGAGGGGGAGCAGGTAGCTGCTGCAATTCTGACTCCGAATCTGAGCATACGTTGCAGCCAGGGTCACAACAGCAGCCACCTGCCACCATGTCTGCACACTCTGTCTTCCTTGCCTGCCCCTGCAGCCTCTACTGCCTCCCTTTCAGCTCTGACTCCAGCTGGGCACGGAGCACATGAAGACTCCATCGCCTGCCTAGCCAGTCAGTAGTGGTGCTGCTCCAGCCTTGGGGTGCTGCTGCATGTCTGGGCAAGGGCTCCATTACCTGGGAGAGATTCTAGCTGGAGCTGCATCAGACTGGGGCGGGGGTGGTGAGAATAAGGAGGCAGGGGCTGTGAGAACCAGTGGGGGCAGGTGCTGGGTGTGGTTGGGTAGCCTGCAAGGGGAAGAAATGGGGAGGGGGCAGAGGGCAAGGGGACTGCCTACCCCCTAGCTGCCTGCTGCTCCTTTCCCCTGTGTAGCAGTGGGGGAGGAGGGAGGGTGAGCTTAAGACAATCCCCCAATAATTAGATTTTATACCTGGAAAATTATAACAAATGTATACATTTTCCATATATGGAATGAAATTATTGTGGGGGGGGGGGTCGGTCATCTTAAATTTTAAGTAGTCTTGGATTTGGGTAAATATGATACATTGTCCACCATACTGTCTCCTCCTATTTCTTCATAAAGTTCCTAAGAGTTAGACAGAGTTCCTGACTTTGCATATTTATATTCCTGTCCACTGACTTAATGATGTATGTCAATGTTACATTATCAGCAAGTCAATCTTTTTATTACTTTTTCTGAATGGGATATGACTGCAAGCAATGCACAGAGTTCAGCAAAAGTCATCTATAAATTCTTCTCAGCAGTAATGTACACTGCAAAGAGGCTGTGTGGCATACAAATGAAATGTAGCAATCAATAGCATAAGCAGAGCCATTATGACATCAGCCACTTAAAAAAGGTCATTCATGCTTCCCTGGCTTTTTTAATGCCATTATAATAAGTTTCTTGCATATTACTTTTCATTGATTATTTTTCTTTTTTACTAATTCAGGTTGCCTGCATATTTCTGTGTTACTTGAAAGTTGGCCTTTTTAGAGAGAGAGAGTGAGCAGACTAAAGGAGGTAAGTGAGAAGGAAGCAAGAAAGGATCAGATAGAGGTACCACGAGTACAGGCCCTGAGAAAAGCTGAGAGTTCCTGGGGGCTTCAGGCTGGCTGAAAGGGGCCTAGGGTTATCTGCTGTTGTGTTACTGCTCCTGTATTCAGGGAAAGAGAGCCCAGCATATTCATAAGTAATGGATGTGCACCAAAGATAACCAGATCTCATCAACAGTTCTCATTCTAACAGAAGCAACCTGCAGGATTCCACAGTTTGGCTCATTTCTTAGATTAACAATGCGGGGTTTCAGCATGAAGGTTAACTTGCTTAGGAAGTTTAAGCAATAAATGCAGTTCTGTTATGGTGAAAATATTGGTACATTTCCAAGATTGTGTGGCTGACTTGTATAAGGAAGTATTCCCACTTTTATGGAAGTGTTTTAACCTCTTTAGGAAAACTGAAGTAGTAGGTTGTGCAGGTCACATATGGTCCTTTCTGTCTGAGTGACCCCTAGACAGACACATTTTGTGAGTCTTTTCAGGTAGCAAAGAGACAGCCAATTACCTGCCAGCTCCGTATAAATTCCTTAATGCTGCTGGAATGGGAGTGGTTAGAAAGCATCCATTCATTTCCAGCTTCATTGTCATTAGTGCCAAAAAGACCAGCTGATACACCTGGAAACAAAGAAAACTGAGTAAAATGAGCACAAAGTTACAGGTTTAGAAACTGCCTTCAGGCACTGAGGGTAGAGTGCTATTTCTTTTCTGCATCTAAAGTTTTTAGCCACACACGTGGCATTTTTGGTGCTTAGGTATAGGTAACAAACCTATTTCCCTTGCAGTGTGGATACTAAATGCATGCACAGAGACTGAGTATGCACAATAGCCTATGCCAGGGTTACCATATGTCCGGGTTTTCCCATACATGTCCTCTTTTTGGCTCCTCCCATGTCCGTCTGAGCACTTTTTTGAAATCTGAACAAATGTCATTATTGACTCCAAGATGAACATGGGCCGACAATGCGAGGTCATGGTTGGCAAGGCTAACCGGACCTTGTCGTGCATCCACAGGTGCATCTCGAGTAGAGCCAAAGAGGTGATCCTCCCCCTCTATGCGACACTGGTCAGGCCACAGCTGGAGTATTGTGTCCAGTTCTGTGCGCCCCAGTTCAAGAGGGATGTGGACAATATGGAGAGGGTCCAGAGGAGGGCCACCCGCATGATCCAGGGACAACAGGGCAGACTCTACAGTGAGAGACTGCGGGACCTGAACCTATTCAGCCTCCACAAGAGAAGGCTAAGGGGGGACCTGGTGACTGTCTATAGACTCACTAGGGGGGACCAGAGGGGTTTGGGGGAGACGCTGTTTCCCCTAGCGCCCGCTGGCATAACAAGGAGAAATGGGCACAAGCTGTTGGAGAGGAGGTATAGATTGAACATCCGCAAAAACTACTTCACCGTTAGGGCGGCTAGGAGCTGGAACCAACTTCCAAGGGAAGTGGTGCTGGCCCCTACCCTGGGGGTCTTTAAGAAGAGGCTGGATGCCCACCTAGCTGGACTCGTTTGAGTCCCATTTCTCTTTTTGGGGTTTTTGTTGTTCTCCCGCCCTGGCGGGGGGTCGGGCTAGAAGATCTACTAGGTCCCTTCCGACCCTTAATCTATGAATCTATGAATCTATGAATCTATGTCCAGGATTTTGCTCTGCTCCACTGCCAGAAGTGTGGGGAGGATGATGGGAGGCAGGGGGATCACATGTGAATGTGTGCACGTATACACATGGCTGGCATATAGCTAGGCAGGGTCATGGGAGCAGCCCTGGTAGCTGGATGCAGGTAAGTCTATGAGGTGCAGGGGTTGGAGGGCCAGGGCTTGGAGACTGTCTGGGTTGGGGTGGGGGTGGAGGGGATGGGTGTGTGTGTTGGGTGTGGGGGGGTGGCGGCAGGTGCCTGATGATGCTGGTGTCTAGGCACAAGGGCTGAGGCAGAGCAGAAGAAAGGCACCTGCCCATCCAGTGGGGGAAGGGGGTGGAGGGGCCCTTCAGGGGCAGTGAGGAACTGCGTGGCCAAGCTAGTTTCACCAGGGGCCGCTGCCCTTGCTTGTAGGGGCAGGGCACCTGGGAAATGCTGCCTGGGTGGGGCATAGCCAGGCTGCCTGGTCCAGGGGGCTGTGGGTTGGGAGTGAGGGGCACCAGCATAGCCCAGCATAGGACCAGAGTTCTGCAAGTTGGGAGTGAAGGGCAGCAGCAGGGACATAGGGCTGCAGGTTGGGAGTGAGGGGCACTGGCAGTGCCAGAGGGCTGTGGGTTTGGAGTCAGGTGTCCCCTGCCAGGTATCCTATTTTTTGGGACTGAAAATATGGTAACCCTAGCCTGTGCCCTGACTGGACACATACAGAGCTACATACACACAGCAATTCTGGATTCATACCTGCATCTAAGTCTCAAAAATGCAGCAAGCCATAACTAGTGGATGTTAACACTGTGGAGAAGGGCCCACCCACATGGTAGCCCCAGTAGTTGAGTGGTTAGGGCACTACTCAGGAAGCTAGAAACCTGTGTTTTAGGCCTACATCTCTCTTTCTCAATCCAGTCTTCCCATCAGTGTAGAATCTTTCCCACTGGACTGCTCTTTATGCAATGACTAAAGGCAAGAGGCTGTGGCACAGCCTCAGAGATTGCACTGGGAAGGGGATCTGGCTACTGCCTGTCCTGTGGTGGGATGGTTAGAGCATCAAGCCTGACGAAGCAACCACAGCACAAAGACAGAGCCAAAACCAGCAAGGTAGGCAGCAAGAAAATGCCATCTAGATGCATGAATGTAAACAGAATTCTAGCCTTCCTGTCCTGCCTGGGGAAGTTCAGATCAAATGCAGAAATGGTTTGTTCAGGTTAAAAAAGGAGAGCTTGCCATAGCATCCATTATACAATGGGTTTGATTATTTGGTCTTGCATGTCAGAGACTATTCAAGAGTCGGGGTGTCAAACATGTCACCTGGCCCACACAGCTAGTGGAATGGCTGGGATTTGGCGAAGCAGGGATGGGGCCTGCTGCTGAAATCGGGTACAGAGCCTTGCTAAGGACACATACTGGCAGCAGGTGATGGCTGCGTTAGCACCTATTAATGTCTCTTGCCCCACTGCCAGATCCAGCCCACAAGGTAACAGTTTAAAATCCCTGCTCTAGAGCAATGGCTCTCTTGTGCTGACTGGTGGAGCAGAGCTGAGCTCTCAACACCATGGGTTGCATTAAGAGGCAGCTAAAGTTACAGGAACTTTATGTAAACATTTGTGGTTTTACTACATGGATTTATTTCATGTCACATTAGCAAGGAATGTCTGGTGCCATCACCAGGGCTAGTATGAAACAAACTGGGAAGGACAGGTGAGGGCAGCTTTTAATCTAGTTACTGAGGTCTCTAGACATCAGAGATAGAGGAAAAAACAGCGAGAAGCAGAAGGGTCCAATTAAAGCGTTGCTAAGATTGTGTTTAATACTAACCATGATGCCATCCACTCAATGTAATGGTACAGAGGTCATGATGAAAGTCACAGGAGACAGAAACTCCACTCTGACTGGACACTTCTATTTTATTAGCTTCTTTTCTTGCAATTAGGCCATTTTTTTCAAGAGACAGATCAAAATCAAGACTTTGGCAACTCTCTTCTGCCAGGGAAAGATTGTACACCTTGTACATCTGTTAAAATGAAAAAAAATCTCCAAGTAAATAATATTTGGCAGGGTTTTACAAAGAACTGATACTCCTAAAATCCCCATTGGTGTTTGTAATGTCAAATGCCAGAAATATGACTTATTTGGAAAGTACTATTTCTGGTCACAGGCTGGTTAGCTCACTGTGTGCAGGCTGGGCAGTGCCATTTATGAACTGCCCCATTTTGGGGCAGAAAGCCACAAAGCCACCCAGGTACACTGAGTTTATTACCCACAGCACAAGTGCTGTAAGTCTTCCTGGCATCATATTGTCTGTGCAAGAAGAAAGGGTAAGTTTCCTTAAGCCTTCTTCCATTTCCTGTATCCAGGAGCCAGGCAGGATATTTTCCACACTTACCAATATTAGCTGTTATTTTTGAGAATTAGTCCTGCTTGCTGATATATGACAAGTCTATAAGCTCCCCTTTATGCTAAGTTGGAATAGGGATACATTTGATGCTTGGCTTCATTGTCAAAATATAATGATTTCAATATTGCTCTTTCTGTTGTAATAATATAAGAAGGTAAAGTGCTATACTGGGTCAGATCAGTGGTTCATCTAGCCCTGTAGCCTATCTCCCACAGTGGGGCCCTTTTCTTATCACTCCTCTGCTCATGTCTCCAAGCAGACTCAACAAATAGGCCCGTCTCCCACAGTGGCAGACGTGCATGCTAGAGGGAAAGCAATGAACTGAATACATCTATCCCATATTCATTAACCTCCCTGGCACCCACCATCATTGGTTTAGAGATGCAGGAGCAAACAGCTCCAACAATGCAATTTCCAGAACACATTTCATTATTTTGCAATTAAACTTGAATATCTCCTCCCACCTTCAGTCCTGGGTACAGATCAAACACTGTCTGGTTCATCTCCACATAGAGTGATCTTGAGCCACTGGTCTCCTGGTTCAGCACTACAGTGAAGGTGCTGTGAACAAAATCCTTGGCAAGAAGCACACTGCACTTTGATGCCAGATCATAAATTCTTCCATCAAAAGTCATAACATGTTTGTTCCCCATCAACACAGCATGATCTGGAGAAAGACATTATATAAGAGCAGTGTCACTAAACTGTGCACAGAGCAGTGTACTATACCAGTGTCAGAACAGCTTATTACTTCTCAGGAGACTTTTCTAAGATAATCATCAGTATATAGATTCTAAGCCAGTTATAAGCTTTTCCACAATAGTGAATTTTTTAGAAGGGAAAAAATCTATCTTTTTTTATATCAGCCTGAATTCAGATGTTCTGAAACTGGGAGATGTGAAATGAGGATTCAGTTTGCACGTGAGCTGATCTCTATTTAAGATATAAGTGCTAAATATATATGCATATTCTTGTATTAGAAACATGAATAAATGATAAGTGTTTGTCTCAGAGAAAGTTCAGCACATCAGAAATAGAACAGGGAATGATTCTCTTGCTCCACAGGCACCAAGTAGGCAACTCCTTTTAAAGTGAAAGGGAACTGTAGATGTAAAGCACCTCTGAAAATTACGCTGTTGAAACCCCATCTTAATGCCCTCCAAATACTGCCCAGATCCAGGAGCTACAGGAAACAGCCACTTCTGGAAGCTCTGTTGTCTGCCAAGGAGTGGTTAGAAGTTCATGCAATTCAGCAGAAATGGGACTCTGAAGAAAAACATTAAAACTTTCATCAAAAGACTTGCATTCAAATGGACTCTCCATCATCCTCCGTTTGAATCTGTAGTATTCTGCTACGGGGTTGATGTTATAGAAGTCTCTGAGGGGCCTCATTAGCTTTTCTTCAATGAGGTAGTTAGTAATATTTGCCAAATCCATAGAGTGTTCTCCTTTGGGTAGAACTGGCAGGTTCACTGCCACTGAACAATTCCTGTGGGGCACAAATGATTCACTTGTGATCTCACTGGCATTAAAAGATTCAGTGCACTTTATGTATTACTCATCTAGAAATGTCACGGGCTATAGGCTGTACAGGAGGGACAGGATACGA